GTCAAACCAATGGAAGGTCTGATGAACACGATGACGAATACCATAAGCTTTTAAAGTTACATATTGGTACAGATGTTACCAATATGTTTTATGAATGGTAAAGCCTAGACGTGTAAACTCACAGCACAGGAAATCCCTGTCACCCTCTTAACACTATATAACCTTCACAACCCATTTCCTATTTAAAATACCACAGACCTTATACGTTTACCTTGAACGTTACAGTCATGATGTCAAAAGAGACTCGTGGTATTTGAAAAATGTCAAAAGAAAATTTCAAAAACATCCCCCAAGTCATTCTAGCTGGTGTGGGGATTTCTCAAATATCATCCAAACAAGAGGACAGGAACATAACAGGTATCAAATAATCACTGTCTGGCTGCATTTAAGACAGCAACACCCAAAGACCCCTTTCACATGCCCGAGACGTCAGTAAAGTAGTCACAAACGACCCACTGAATGAGACCCACAGCTTACAATCATAATTAGGCTGAAATACGAGCTCTACGTAAACAGTCCAAGAGTCTCGACCAAAGATTAAACTGACGCTTCAGTGCTGAAAGCCAACATCAATTCTGTTCACGGCTCATGACTGTTACTTTTAAAACATCTGCTTTGTTCAGATGTGATCAGATGGTCCAGTTTAAAAAACCCAGACAGACAGATTTGGTCTATATTTAGATGTTTTTGTCTTTATTTTATAGACATTTTCAAAACATGTAATCCAGCATAAAGCAGAGCCGTTACAATAATAGTAAAAATATTACAGTTATGTACATTACTTCAAATATTTTCAATCATTAAAAAAATTAAAATAAATTTGTGAATTTCATGAATATTGTTTATAATCTGAACATTTATTTTGTATTAAGAAACCATTAAAATGTTGAACTGTGACATTATTTGCATGTCAATAAAGACCATTCCCCCTAAAACTCCCAATAAAAGATAGATTCTAATGTAATCACTATAATGTAATAAAGTGCTTTTTGTTTGTTTTTGTTCTGGCAAAAATTTGCACTTGAAATTAATTTTGTAATATACAGTATTCACTCACCGGCCCCTTTATTAGGTACACCTTACTAGTATCAGGTTGAACTGTGCCATTGCCATTTCAGGTCAAAAAAACTTGCTGGTTGGATAATAGATGAAAGGATGATGTTAAAATAACAAATGTTAAATAAATTTCCTTTTTTTCTTCAGAAGTTAAAACATTGGAATTGTGTTATCAATTTTTTTTATAAAAATACATGAAAAATGGCAACTTTTTTGCTCAAATTGTCAATGTTATTTTGAGCAAAATAACACGACAAATGACTTTTTTTTTGATTGAACAACTATAAATCATAAATCCAGAGAGACAAAGCTATATATACAGTCAAACCCAAAATTATTCATACCCCTGGCAAATGCTGGCTTAAAGTTTTTGTTTGAATGTAAATAAAAACATAAATATGTTTTCCACAACAATGCCTCCTGTACACGGTCTTATTATTCATTGGGAGCCTGTGCCCTTTCAAGTCAAAAAAAACTTGCTGGTTGAATAATAGATGAAAAATGGCATATGTTATCACTTGTTATGCTTGTTATGTACTTGGTTATTCCACTGATTTCTATTGATTTCTTTGTTTGTACTAATTGTTTTGAGAAAAGCATTAACTATTGCGCAAATGTAAATAGTGTTGTGAGAAATGCACCAAAAGGACTGAGAAAAACTGTAATATTTTTTTCTGAAGTTAAAACATTGAAATTGTGTTGTCAAAAAATGTATACAAATATGTGAAAATATGCCACCTTTTTACTTATTTTAAGCAAAATAATACTACAAATGACATTACATTTTTTTTAACACAACAATAATCCATAAATCCAGAGAAACATAATTATAAATATACAGCCAAGTTCAAAATCAATCAGACCCCTTGCAAATTCGGACTTAAAGTTTTTGTTCAAATGTAAATAAAAGTGGAGGAATAATATTTCCCACAATGATGCTTCCTGTACATCGTGGTCTTATTATCTACTAGAAGCTGCCTGTATCATGTCAGGTCAAAAAACTTGCTGGTTGAATAATAAAAAGATGTTGTTAAAATAACAAATGTTATCAAGGTTATTCCACCAAATATTGATTTCTTAATTTATTCTCAAGTTAAAAGTTATAATTTTTTATATAAATATACAAACATATAGAAACTTTTTTTTTGTTATTTTAGGCAAAATAATACTATAAATGACTTATTTTTAATAATTGAACAGCTATAAATCAAAATATCAGTTATATAAATATAACTATTTATAGTCAAACCTAAAATTATCCATACGCCTTTACTTAAAGATTTTGTTCAAATGTAAAAAAAAAAAAAAAAACATGGTCCTACTTTATATTGTGGCCTTAAATAATAAGTAATTACATAGTAATTAATAGTTTGTTACAATATACTTATTGTGTAAATACATGTATTTACGGTGTACTTATGCTTGATTAAATACCAGTATGTAATTACATCTTTAATTAACTTTTGTAATTACATTTGTAAATACAATGTTGACCATCCCTTACACCTTAACCCACCCTTAAACCTACCCATACCACCAAACCTGTCCATAACCCAACCTCTATCCCAACTCAAAAGCACCACAAGTGTTCTCAAATACATCATAAACATAGTAAGTACATTGTATTTATTTTTCGATGGAAGTACATAGTAGTTAAGGACACTTAATATAAAGTGGGACCAAAAACATTAATATTTTTTCCACAATGATGCCTTCTGGTCTTATTATCAACTGGGAGAAGCATGTGCCATTTACAATAAAAAAAAAACTTGCTGGTTGAATAAAAGTAACTATAAATCAAAATTTGCCAGTGGTAAGAATAATTTCGGGCTTGATTGTCCATTATATTGAGAAAATTATACATTGAGATTCACCAAAATCTACAAGAATTCAATTAAAAAGCCACTTACTTTCTTCTTAGGGAGGCTCACGTCCAGTTTCATGGAGGCACACTTGTTCAGAGTGTTGAGTCGACTGGAAGAGAAGAAGACAGTCACTGGTGAAGACATCCGTCACTCTCATCTCCACCACAAAGAAACCACAGAGAAACAGAGAGAGAGAGAATCCACTGCAGATCCTACACTCCTCTAACCTCTGTTTGCCTCTCTACACACAGGTATAGATTTCAAGAAAACTCTCACTATCTCCGTCCGGATTGGCTGCCGGAAAGAGTGACGGGTTCAACTTGGCAGCCGTGACTTCTAATCTCTTTCAAGACATGGCCATGAATGAATGAGACTGCAGAAGGAAAAAACAGAGGGATAAAGAGAGCGAGAGAGTGGCCGATCCACCTCCGCTTTGATCTAACCCTACAGTGGCCTTTAACGTCCTCATCTGACTGATCTTCACCCCTGAAGAGCTTCTCTCCACCCCTTTAGCACACACACACACATACACAGTGCATACGAGACTGCAGACCCTTCACTTTATATCCATTCCAGACACAAACAAGCCATTATTTCACCTATAAAACCACAACGTGTTGTTTTTTGATGCGCTGAATTTTCCTTCATGACATAAGCAGGTCTTTTTGATTTAATTTTGGCTTCAGTAAATTCAAACTAAAGAATATTGTGGCGCAAATCTGAAGTGACTTTTTTATAGCACATTGAATTAGATTCATTTTAAATTTGAGGATACAGTTCAGAGGTTTTTGCAATGCAATTTAATATTGGAATCAATTGAACTTGGTTACAGTGTTTACTTATCTAAGCTGCGTACTTTATGGTTGATGTACTTTTCTCCATGTGGGTGAGATTATGATTGTGATCCGCTCACAATGCAATCTAAATTAGTCTTTTTCCATTTTTGTGAAAATGTGAACACTAAAACAAAGGAAATTGGATATAGATTGTTATATGCAACATCAGAATGGGCTGTTTTTCCTTCACCCCTGAAGAGCTTCTCTCCACCCCTTCAGTATTCATTCCAGACACAAACAAGCCATTATTTCACCTATAAAACCACAACGTGCTGTTTTGTAATGTGCTGAAATGTTCCTTCATGACATCAGCAGGTTTTTATTTTTTATTTTGGATACAGTACATTCAGACTAAAGAATATTGTGGCCCAAATTACAGACTGTATTAAAAGCACTATGACGATGGCCGATAGACATCACGATTCTGAGCCGGCATTGCGGTCCTCCACCCCGCCACCGTCGCAGCAGCAAACGGTTCGCAAAAAAAATCACACTCAAGCCACGTTTACACTAATACATCTTAGTTTCACACTCACACAAACAAACACACAGGCATGCGCAGCAGCATATTCGCACGTCTCCTCTCTAGGCAGTTAGCGGGTGCTTTATGCACAAAACCCCAGAGAGCAGTGCAGGTCGGATAGTTTATCAAGGATGTACCGCTGGATCGCATCTCACTTTAGTTGTTAAAGTTCATATTTAATTATTCTTGTCTCTATCTAGCGACTCTTTGGTCTGGTAACGTGTCAGTGTCAGTACACTGCTTCAATCTTTCGCTTTCATGCTTGTACTTAATAATTTTTGCGAAATCCTCAGATACTCTTGGTTGGTTGCTGTTGGTTGTGCACCTTTTTTACCAACCAAGTTTGTCGATGTCATTATATTGACACAGGTCACTTTGCTTATTCATGCCAGAGTCCTGCAGAAAAAGTGATAGATAGCTGGTAATTTGTGTGTGACTTATCTTTATTTATTTATGATTCAGTTATGGGCACAACAAAGGCCATGCGGATCAGGCAGTTGAAACGGAGGCTATAAATAATTAATTTATTATGAATGAATTAATTATTCATAAATAATTAATTCACCGCCGCCTACAACGGCGATGCCATTGTCCATCGCAATTAGACATCGTATGATTCCAAATTGGTCGACGTCGCCAAACCCTAAAAAGCACAAACCACATTACATTAGATTCATTCTAAATCTGATCCCAGCAGACAAACAACATCATAGGACATTGATATTAGATATTAATATTAGGTTAGAGGGTTGACAGTGTCTTAAAACAATGTTATTTTGATGACCAATAAAGACGTGAAATAACATTGATATTTTGTTGATTTTAGGTTTTCCTGGAAAGTGACCAAAATCCAACGTCGAGCTAAGATCTTAAACCAACGTCACATTGACGCCAAATACTGACAATTGTCAGGTATAGTAACCAAAATACAACATCTGATAGACGTCGTAGTGGTGATGTCCACACAACGTCAAGTTGTAACATCATTAGACGCTGATATTTAGTTGTTTTTGGCTTGTGTAACCAAAATTCTGAAAAAAAGGTTTTTAAAAAGTCTGTCTGATGTTAAACATTGAAATCGGCAACCTCAGACATCTGAATGGACTCTTTAGCCTTTTAAATTCAGCCCAAAATAGCTTTCCTATTTATACACAAACACAGAAACACGCAGACCCTTCACTTTATATCCAATCCCAGACACAAACAGGCCATTATTTCACCTCTAAAACTACAATGTGTTGATTTTTGATGCGCTAAAACATTCCTTTATGACATCAGCAGGTCTTTTTTATTGTGTAGTCAAACTAAAGAATAATGTGGTGCAAATGTGAAGTGACTTTTTTATGATAGTATTAAAAGCAAAAACTATATTGAAGTAAAGTTTCCAAATCTGATGATACAGGTCTTTGATACAAGTTTTTGCAATGCAGAATAATGTTGGAATTTGGACTTGGCCACTGTGTTTACTTATATAAGCTGCACACTGTAATGTTCTTTTCTGCAAGATTCTGATTGTGATCAGTTCACATGGCAATCTGTTTTTGCCTTTTATTCCTATTTGTAAAAACGTGAACACTAAATCGAAGGAATTGGATATTGATTGTTATTTGCAAACTTCATAAAGGGCTCTTATGCCTTTTTTTATTCAGCCCTGAAGAGCTTTCCCATTTTCTAACACACACAATTGTTTGTTTGTTTTTGGCTCCAGACTAAAGAATATTGAGGCGCAAATCTAAAGTGACTTTTTTATGACAGTATTAAAAGCACATTGAATTAGATTCATTCTAAATCTGAAGATACAGGTCAGATGTTTTTGCAATGCAGCTTAAAATTGGAATTAATTGACCTCTGTGTTTCTTTGCATAACCTGTTTACTGTATGGCTAATGTTCTTATCTGCATGTGGTTGAGATTATGATTGTGATCATTTTGAATTGCATTCTGATTAAGCCTTTTCCTTTTTCTAAAAATGTGAACACTAAAACAAACACAATTGGGTATTGATTGTTATATGCAACCCCAGACCTCGGGATGATAAGAGGATAAGAGTCTGAGGACCTAGAGAATAAAGGTTTGCATTTTACAGGTGGTTTGTCAAGCTCACTCATCTACGTGAAGCACACAATATTTTGTTGATAAGTGTGTTGATAAGACAGTGTCTATTGCATATTGAGAGGAGTGACTAAAGAATATTGTGGCCAAAATCTATAAACAGTTGAGGGCAAAATGATTAGCCCTCCTGTGCAATATTTATTCTATCAAATATTCCCAAAATGATGTTTAACAGAGCACAGACTTTTTCTATTTAATTTCTATTTCTATTAATTTCCTAGAATATATTTTTCTTTTGGAGAAAGTCTTATTTGTTTTCTTCAGCTTAAATAAAAGCAGTTTTTAATTTTTTAAACAGTTTTAAGGTCAATATTAAGCAATATTTATTTTTGAATGTCTGCAGAATTAACCTTTGTTAAACAATGACTTCCCTAATTACTCTAATTTGTCTAATTAACCTAGCTAAGCCTTTACATTGCCCTTTGAACTGAATACTAGGTATCTTGAAAAACATCTAATAAAATATTATGTGTCGTCATCATGGCAAAGATAATAAAAAAACATTATTAGAAATTAGTTATTAAAACTATTGTGTAGATGTTTAGAAATGTGTCCCAACACAAATTAAGTTAACTTAACACTTTTAGCAAATGTATGTAGATTGAACATAAACAATTATTTTTTCCCAATGAAATCTCAAAAATTGTGTTGTTTCAGCTCATTTTAATAAAAAAAAAAAGTGCATACAAGCTCCTAAATGTAATACAGGTCAAATGTTTGAGTTAATTGACTGCAAGCTGCCGACTGTATTGTTATTGTTCTTTTCTGAGGGTGAGTTTAGGATTGCCACGAGTTCACACGGCAATCTGATATCACTGTTTCTTTTATTATGCGAATGGCCAAACAAAGAAAATCTGATCTAAGCAATAAATCAAAATTGAGCATTGTGAGCGTAACCTCAGACATGTGAATGCACTCTATTGTCTTTTATATTTTTATCTCACCCTTGAAGAGCTTTCCCGTTTTTTACAAACACACTGCAGACCCTTCATTTACACCCATTCCTGACAAACAAACAAGCCATTACTTCACCCATAAAACCAAAATGTGTTGTTTTCTTGATGCGCATGACATCAGCACGGTTTAATCAGCTGTCTGACTGCCTTTTTAAATCAAGATTCCCTAATTAAACATCCAGATGGTCCCGGAAAATTTCCGTAAATATCATGTCTGCTGTGCGATAATGAAACGGCATTCTCATTCCAGGAGTCTGGGTCCTGAAGAGCAGTGTGTGTGTGTGTGTGTGTGTGTGTATTCAGTGACAGTAAAGCTGTCAGATCTCACTAACGCTGTCATTAGTGCCATTAGGGAACCTGCTAGAAAGCCTCAACGCCTCAAAGTCCAGGTCTGAATTCACACACACACACACACACACACACACACACACACACACACACACACACACACACACACACACACACACACACACACACACACACACACACACACACACACACACACACACACACACACACACACACATACACACACACACACAAAGACATGACACACGACACACACACACAGACAGACAGACAGACAGCCATCTGTTAGAGCCCTCGGGCCTTTGAGAGGGACTTCAGAGCGACTCCACGGGGGCTGAACTGGGGATCAAAGTGGCAGGGAACGAGACAGACTTTATGGAGGACACGGGTCAGACACATAGAGAGGTGAGGTCGCCACAGGGACAGAGCCATTTACTGAGCTTTCTCGCACTTCTACAAGCAGTAGAGATGGTTTGATCTGCTTGGGTACTGGATTTTTAAGAGAGAGAGAACAAAGTTTTCTTTGAAAATGTTTGCTCTTAAGGAAATACCTTAGTGTATACCTTCATCTATACATCACCCAGTGGTAAATAATAGCAATTATTATTATATATTAATTATTATTATTAATAACAATTTGAAAAAAGCTGGAGTTTCGTTGAACATTTTTGCTCTACGCTCAAACGTTTTGTTTGCTGATTGTTCAAATGAAATAAAACAGCACAATTATTAAGCTTTTTTTGGGACAACTTAACCGTTTTATGTTCAGTTTACTTAAATTTGTAAAAACAATTAAGTTAACTTAATTGATTTGTGGTGGGAAAACTAGAAGGAATTAAGTTAACATTAGTTTTTTACAAATTTAAGTTGGTTGTACATGTACGTAACAAATGCACTATATATACTTTCATCCACATATGATCCAGTGGTAAATAATTGTTATTATTGATTAATTATTATTGTTAACAGAAATAGCAATCTGAAAAAAAGCTGAAATAACTGAGCATGTTTGCTCTTACATGTTTGCTCTGTAAAAAATGCTTTGTCGGTGTTGGTGCAAGATGAAAGAGTTAAGGTAACTTATTAGTTTTTTTTTTTTACAGATTTGAGTGGATTGAACAAAAAACAATTAAGTTGTTCCCACATGAAACTCAAGAATTGTGTTTTTTATGCTCATTTTATTGATATACAGTGCATCCGGAAAGTATTCATAGCGCTTCACTTTTTACAAATTTTTTATGTTACAGCCTTTTTCCTAAATGGATTGAATTAATTTATTTCCTCCAAATTCTACACACAGTTTTTGAAATTGTGGCAATTTATTAAAAAACAAAAAGCTAAAAAAAAAAAAATCATATTTACGTAAGTATTCACAGCCTTTGCCGTAAAGCTCTAAATTGAGCTCAGGTACATTCTGGCTGCATCCAAAACCGCATACTTCCATACTATATAGTACGCTAAAATCAGTATGCGAGCCGAGTAGTACGTCCAAATTCATAGAGTTCGAAAATCAGTATGCGAGTAGTACCTGGATGACTTACTACTTCTGGCGAGATTCTGAAGTGTGCATCCTATGCACGCTGCGCTATCCCATGATGCCCTGCGAGAGAATTCATGAATGGAAGTGAAGCGACGCAGGTAGGTCACGTAATCATGACAAAATGGTGGAAGTAGTACGCCCGAAGTCCATTCATATTGCTTACATTCATACTGTATAGAATGTACTTTTCTAACGGCCGAGTAGTACATTTAAATTTAAATGAGTAGTAGGTGGTTTTGGACGCAGCCTCTGTTTCCACTGATCACTCTTGAGATGTTTCAGCAGCTTAATTTGGAGTTCACCTGTATTAAATTCAGTTGATTGGACATGATTTGAAAAGGCATACACCTGTCTATATAAGGTCCCAGGGTTGACTGTGCATGTCAAAGCACAAACCAAGCATGAAGACAAAGGAAATGTCTGTAGATCTCTGAGACAGGATTGTCTCGCATCTGAAGGACTCTCAGACCATATGAAACAAATTTCTCAGATAAGACTAAAGCTGAACTCTTTGGAATGATTGACAGGTGTTACATCTGGAGAAAACTAGCTGCTGCTCATCACCAGGCTAATACCATCCCTACAGTGAAGCATGGTGGTGGCAGCATCATGCTGTGCGGATGTTTTTTAGCAGCAGGAACTGGAAAAATTGTCAGGATAGAGGGAAAGATGAATGCAGCAATGTACAGAGACATCCTGAATAAAAACCTGCTTCAGAGTGCTCTTGACCTGAGAACGGGATGACGGTTCATCTTCCAGCAGGACAATGACCCAAAGCACTCCGCCAAAATATCAATGGAGTGGAATCACAACAACTCGGTGAATGTCCCTGAGTGGCCCAGCCAGAGCCCACAACTAAATCCTATTAAACATCTCTGGAGAGATCTGAAAATGGCTGTACACCGACACTTCCCATCATAACTGATAGAGCTTGAGAGGTACTGCAAAGAGGAATGGGCAAAAATTCCCAAAGACAGTTGTACCAAGCTTGTGGCATCATATTTAAAAAGACTTGAGGCTGTAATTGCTGCCAAAGGCGCATCAACAAAATACTGAGCAAAGGCTGTGAATACTTCTGTAGATGTGATTTTTAAGGTTTTTTATTTTTAATCAAATTGCAACAATTTCAAAAAACTCTTTTTTCACACTGTCATTATGGGGTATTGTGTGTAGAATGTTGGGTAAATAAATGAATTTAATCCATTTTTGGAATAAGGCTGTAACATTAAAAAAAAATGTGGAAAAAGAAGCGCTATGAATACTTTCCGGATGCACTGTAGGTAGCTTTAACAAACAGAAAACGTCATTTATGAGCGTAGGAAAATAAATGTACTGTATAAAATTTCATCCATACATCACCCAGCGGTATAATAGCAGTTATTGTAATATATTTGTATTATTAATGCTTATAAAAAGCCTTTTGGTGGTAAACGTGTATCCATTTTCTACAGATTTTATGAATGTAGATGTACACTCACACACATAAAAATATTTTCTGGCAATATAAATAAATAATTGCATTAAAAATAAAATAAAATAAAATAATAAACAATTAAATAAAATAATATTGCCAGAAGTAATGAAAAGAATAAGATGAATAAGAAATGTAAATAATATAAATAAAATCAATGAATATAATTGTACATACAGAACATTTACACAAAACAGTCATCAATAAATAATATATTCATGATAAAAAAATAATTACAACGCAAGCAATAATATAAAATACAAATACTAATAATTTCAGAAATAATAAGAAATGTAAGTAATAATATAATTAATATACTAATAATTTCAAAAATTTTAAAATAAAACAAAAATAAAAATAATGCCAGAAGAGATAAAATAATGACATTAAAAATTAATAAGAAATGTAAATAATAAATAAACTGCATCAACTAATTTAATTGTACGTAAATGTACATAAAACAGTAATGTTTGTAATAAAAATTCAAATTACAATGTTAGTAAGTACAATGTTAGTAATATTAAAAAAAATAAAATACTAATAATAACAACTAATAATTATTAATAATATTTTTGTATTAAATTAAATTAATATAAATTTATATTTTACATTTGTTGATCAACACTGCACAACGTAAATGATCAGAACAGCATGCAGGCAGAGCACGAGTGATTGACAGTAAAGCCTATAATTTCACAGCTGTCATTTGAAGTAAAGAGAGTATCGTGTTTCTCGCTACAGACTCTCAATCTCTACATAATCTCTGCATTTGGAAACTCACCGGCAAAGAGGCTCCACAAGGTCTTTATCCAGAAAGTCATGGTCCCTCTTGACAGCGGATATTTCAATGGGAAACTGGGAATCTGCAGACAGAGACAGAAAGCAGAAGAGTGTTCAAGTAGTTTGACACAAGCAACATCTTCAGAGCCAGTTTTCATGGCAATTGTCATACGGATCACGTTACAGTATATAAAGCAAATCAAAATCATGAAATTAAATGGAGAGAGATAAACAAATAGAGATAACTGGATGAAATATATTTAGTCCATGAAGCCAGACATCTTCTGCTTCTGAATAAAGTCACAAATGTTATAAAGCAAACACAATCTCTGGCAGACGCTGCTTCACTGATTACATTATACAGATCAGACCGACTTTGAAACTCAGGTTATCACTAAACTCACTCTATCTGACTCAAACTAATGTAGACGACTACAAAGAGGAGGAGGAAGGAATTAAGACAGGCCCCAAAATGTACAATGGCCAAGCATCAAAAGTATTAAATTTATTAGATTTATTTTTTGTTTTTCAAATGTTACCCAAATGATGATTAACAGGGCAAGGAATTTTTCACAGTATTTACTATATTTTTTTTTCTGGAGAAGGTTTTATTTTGGCTAAAATAAAAGCAATTAAAAAAAAAAAAAAAACAGCCCTCTTAAGCAATATTTTTTCAATTGTCTACTGAACAAATCATACATTAATTCATTCATTTTTTTTGGGCTTAGTGCCTTTATTAATCTGGGATGACCACAGCGCAATGAACCGCCAACTTATCCAGCAAATGTTTTACGCAGCGAATCCCCTTCCAGCTGCAACCCTTCCCTGGGAAACACCCATACACACTCATTCACGCACACACTACAGTCAATTTTAGCATACCCAATTCACCTGTACACTGCATGTCTTCGGACTTGTGGGGGAAACCGGAGCACCCGGAGGAAACCCACGGGGAGGACATGCAAACTCCACACAGAAATGCTAACTGACCCTGCAGAGACTCGAACCAGCGACTTTCTTGCTGTGAGGCGATCATGCTACCCACTGCGCCACCGCATCGCCAGAACAAATCATCTTTTATTCCTAATATATAACAAATACAACTAAAGTAATTATTATTATTATGACTATTGTTAATATTATTATTATTATTATCGTTATTTTTGTTAGGAAAATGTTAACTGTGAAAAACTGAGCGTTATTACGTTTATTTCTTGATTAATTTATTTTACCTAATGATTACATACAAGCTTTCATAACAAAACATTGCAACTGGATGTGTTTTCTTAATTAGTTTTCTTAATTGCCAAAATAATGAAATAACGCTAAAAGAAGAAAACAAAAGAAAATGAAACAGTATTAAAATAAAATACTAATGTGTGTAGTTAATTATAATAACAATCATATCAATAACTATACTATACATGCATATACAGTGGTGCAAATAAATACTGAACACGTCATGTTTTTTCCTGGGAATAATATCTGTAAAGAAGCTGTTGACATGGAATTGAACCAGATTTTGGTAAAAACCCAAACAATGCAAACATAAAAATAAAACAAAGAAAACCTGTTATGTGTAATAATGAAATGACACAAGGAGAAAGTGCTGAACTACTGAAATGTAAATTTGTATAATTCATATAAAAGGCTTTTTTGGTGATGGCAGCTTAAAGACACCTCTTAAATGGAGAATGAAGTCACATGCATTGCTCAGGTGTGAGTTTTTCCACAGAATTCAACAGTGTAAAAATCTTGATGGTTCTGAGGGTCTCATCTATCAAATCTGACCTTTATTTTGTATTTGATTGAATTCAGGTCAGGCGACTGGCTCGGCCCTTCTACAGCTTAGTTTTCTTTCTCTGAAAGTATTTAACAACTTCCTTGGCTGTGTTTTGGATCATTGTCTTGCTGAAATGTCCAGTCTGGTTTCAGCTTTATCATCCTGATAATGTAGATGTTGGACTGAAGCAGCTGATATTCATTTACAATGAGAAGGGTAGAAGCTTGCTGAAGAATTATTGAGACATTTCAGCTGCTGTCTGGGCTTTCACTGCCTTTCTACACCTCCCTTTCTTCATGTGTTCAATACTTTTTTCCTGCGTCATTTAATTTTATTACACATAATTTGTTAACTAATTAGTTTTAGTTTATTATATCGATATGAACAAATGGTGACGTATTCAATGCATCTTTCACCCACTGTATATTATGTAAATAAAACAAATATTAATATTAGGACTAATAATAAACTGCAAATAATTTATAATACAATGGCTGGAAAAATATTTGTGGTTGCTAAACTTTCTCTTTGCCCATTGGGAGGTGTAACACCTATAAAAAGATCACAATGTGTTTTCCCAGTGGAATCTGAGTTTTTTTTTTTTTTATTAAGTCAAGCCATCTTTATTACTATAGCACTTTTTACGATGTATATTGTGTCAAAGCAGCTCAACGTAGATGATGAGAAGAGAATAAAAAGTCATAATATTTGACTTTTTTTCCTGATATTTCAGATTATTAGCCAGCATATCAGACAGACAGGAGAACATTGACAGAATGCTGGTGCAGTTGTAGTTGAATTAAAACTGATTCAGTTTATTACAGCGTGATGACCTCATGAGGCCAAATGCAGCTTCTTCCACTGTATGATTTTCTCACGAGAGCTCAGCTTTGAATGTACACGGCATTAAATTTAGCATTGTTGACATTTTATCGCTGGCTGACGTAAAGCCTCATAAGCAGGAGTCAGAGGGGAACAGAGAGAGAGAGAGCGATCTCCTCTCGACCCTCTGCTGCTCCGGCCGGAAGACTGAGGCAAAGCCACTGATAATGAAGACTTCTTCCCATGACCTCTTCCTCCCTTTGGATAGAAACTCCAGCCTGCAAATAGCTCACTGCAACCCCAAAATGACCAGAAAAGATAACGAGGGAGGGGGGAGAAAAAATGTGCTGACAAACGAAGCACACAGCTGTGTAAATGTGCTTTTTATTCCATATGTTAAACATAGATAATCATTTTAAAAATAAATGTTAAACTGTAGCAGAGTTCAGACCACAGCTACAGTATAAAGATCTAGAGAAACATTTTTGATTAGCTTTAAGAGCTTTTTTTTTAGGATGATCCATAACGACTCGTACTGTAATATACTGTATATGTGAGTAAATGGGTAAAGCCTAGTCTAGAAAACTCATAGTAGGGCCAGACGAAATCAGCTAACATTTATTGCTATGTCTGCTCATAATTTTGTAAAAAATCTGCAGATTTATGTGGAATGATATTGGATGTATCGTAACTAAAAACGTAATATATGAAATTATTATTTATTATTTTATTTATGTAATGTTTACAATGCAAATCCAATAAGATCCACTTATTTGCTAAACAAAGCAAGTTTCTCATTTAATATATCTACTAAAATACAGAAAATATTACTTAACAAACTGTATTGTAAATAAATCAAATTAACATTTTCATTATATGTCAAAAATATTACTGAAATTAATTTAAAACCTGAATAAATATAAATGTACACAAGTAAATAAATAGACTCAATGATGGGCTCAAAACCTGTGCATTTCTGGGTGCACAGATTCCGTGTGGGCCTACTCAAGAGTATAATGCATAAAGATAGGGCTGGGCAATATGTAAAAAATGTCATCTCGATAATTATTTTCATTTTGAATGATAATGATATATATTTCAAAATGAGATGCTAATTCTTCCAGATTTATAAGAGCAACCCAACAATGACTAAACCCATAAAAATTGGTGGGTCCATTAAATGGCATAATGTATTTTCGGCAAAAAATTCTAAACATCTCCAGTTTGATGAGGAGCCTTTAATTGTCACAACACTGTTGCATGCAGCAAAATTAGACCCCTCTGACCACACACAAAAATCACACATTTCAGGGGAAGACAAATCAGTTAAGACGTAGCACAGAAAAATAGCAAATAAGATACATTGGGGAAAAAGGAGGTTTAAAAAGCCCATCCCAGACTGTCTCTAAAGAAGGGCAATATCAACACACTTTTAGATACCCATTGTTGCACAATTCTGAGCGTGATTGGCTCTTAGATCAATATAGATCAATATAGAAAATCCAGAGCTTATCATTGTTATTGACATAAATTTTATCATGATACGATATATCGTTTATTCGCCCATCCACTGCACTTATTATAATTGCTAAATATAGTTAGATTATTTCCTCAAAGAAACAGGCATCTGCTAAATGTGTCCAAATACAACAAGAATATCAAAAAATAAACCTGATATTTACATAAATCGACACATTGAGGATTTCTACCATCATTTAAAGCTTATCTTACCAACGGCATCTGTTTTTTTTCCTTTGTGTCTTTGAAAAACCTAAAGTGTCAGCTGATCATATTGAAACTGCGGTGTGCAGCTTATAGGGTCACGAAACACCAAAACACATTTTTTGAGATGTTTACAGTCATATATATGTACCACGTTGCTAAAAACACTATTAAGACAGACATCTTTTACAAAAAAGTGAAAATGTGTTGTTTTTGCGTTATTTTGAGCAAATTCGTTCCTCCGGTTTGACAAGAAATTTTGAAGCTACGTCACGGCGATGAGATCATTATGTAAATCCTTGTAAATTTTGTTTACTTTTCCATGCGATGAGAGCACAGCTCGTGCGTGAACCCACAAGTGTGTGGATAACAGCAGATTGTCTGTTAACACGTGACAAAAATATGTTCCTAGGAAACATTTTTTTTTACCCGAGAGCTTTTCAAATCTGGAATTTGCCACTTGTCTTCTTTTAAAAAACACACGGTTCCAGTTCGGGTTGATTATTCCTGTCTCTACGGATTTGGTAATTGTGTGATCAGTGTTCGTTGTTTATGTTTCTCCAGATGGCAAAGTTAGTAAGTATTGTCAGCAGTACTCTTTTAGTTTTTAAAGATATACTCTAGTAAAAATGAACTAAGTTACTAAGTTTACAGTAGTATCACCACAATATTCTGATAACAAAGTTTGATTGTATCGTCAACAGTACTCTTTTATTATTTGAAGACATTGCTTAGTGAAATGATAAAGGTTACTAAGTAGTTTACAGTAATATTAAGACAATATTGTGGACTAAAAATGCTTTGTTTTAAATAAATATATAAGACTTCAATATTCGCTACTTCATGAGCATCTTCACTTTCTCCTGTATTTACCAGTGTATTTGTGTTAAAATGTTAAAAATGATAAGGCAGTGGGGACCTGCACTGTCTTCAACCAAATAATGTGACATACTGTAATGAAACTCCCCTTTTTATGCAAACCCTTCCCTCCTACGCTGTTGGACACTACCACCAAAACAAAGCTGGACTCACCACTTTCCTGACTTTTTTCAAACTAGAAGTGTGAAAACACCGAGCTGTGCGGGGGGAGTGGTTCATCGCCCTTTAAAGGGGCAATTCACCCAAAAATGAAAATAAAAAGAGGTAATAAACCTTCCTCATTTTTTTTTCTGTTGAACAAAAAACAATATACTTTGATGAAAGATGAAAACCTGTAACCATTCACGTTAATAGTAGGAAAAACAAATATAATGGACGTCAATGGTGACAGGTTTTCAGCTTTCTTCAAAGTTTCTTCTACAGAAAACAGAAAAAGTCTTTGAAAAAGTAAATGGAGAGTAAACGACGACTAAATTTTTGGCTAAACTATCCTTTAAAATAAACACATCATTCCCAACAGTGTGAACTCAGATACATTTATCTGTATATCTGTATATGCTGTATATATTCATTGTTCTTGAATTGAGCGGTAATAATCGAGCAGAGGATGGGATGAGGTGTGATCTCCAGCTCAAAGCAGCAGTCAGCTCTTGCTCTCGACCCACCGCATTCCTGATTTTTTACCCTCACTTAACCTCACAGCTGCAGCACAGAATCAACCAGAGATCCTTTGACATCTGTGTGTATGTTTATAGATATTAATCCCATTTCTTACCCTCATAAAGTTGGGCATACTGTGGGAATCCCGCCGCCCGCAGCCAGTCACATGCCTCCTTTGCCTCGATTTCTGAAAAGACACAATGATATGATTCTTCAGAGTTTTTTATTGATCTGTTACAACCTGGGAAAAATATAAATATTTGAGAAACAAACATGCATTTTTAACATGATGTACAGAACTAATTACTGTATATACTTTATCATTCATTAAAAGATCCCATTTAAATACATAGTTCACCCATAAACCATCATTTACTTAACATTTATTTGTTTCAAACCGATTTGACTTTCATTTGGTAAATACAAAATAAAGTATTTTGAAGAATGCTGGAATCCTGTAACCATTGACATAGTATTTGTTTTTATACTATGAAAGTCAGTGGTTACAGGTTTCCTGCATTCTTCAAAATATCTTCTTTTGTGTTTATCAAAATAAAGAACCAAATAAAGGTTTAAAAACACTTATGGGATAGTAAATAATAAATAAATGTGCATTTTGGGGTGAGCTATCCAGGACTGGGCGATTTGGCCCAAAATCTAAATCTTGATTAATAAAAAATTTTAACTTGGTTAGGATTAATGAACAATTATTCATTTATGAAAACACTGACAAGTTTTATTCGTTATCTAAAGGCATCTCTGGCGCAGCTTCCAATCTTTGTCAATGCAGTGCAAAGTAAGGCTCAAGAATAGAGATCAGATGTGGCTGCAAAGTGGCCGCAAAAGTAGAAACCAGCCACAACCTTTAACAGAGTGGGGTCATGCAACATGTATGGAAAGTAATTGAAAAAAATCATCCTGGAAAAATCTGATAGATTTTAGGATCTGAATGCCCATTTTGATTACTTTTCGATTAATCGCCAAGCCCCAGAATTGTCCCTACAGGAATCACAGTGAGGCCCCAAATGAAATTATTTGTCATTTTACAATCTTAATAATTTGCCATTTTCTTTCAAATCACTGGGTTTTTGTTTTTATTGTCAGCAAGAATCATTTTAAATATATTTAAATAGTCTTTATTAACTTGCTTTTTATGTACCCAAATTGAAGCAGACACATTATTCAAACATCAAAACGTATTTGTCTCTCAAAGACTGCAAGTAAATACCTCCAATCTCTCTTTGTCGAGTTAAGATGACAATGAACAATGTGAATCCTTGCATTTTTCTGTTTTATTGGAATACTTACACACCACAGTTCATAGGACAAAATAAGGCTACGGTTGTTCACACTGCAAATCTGATTTTTTCTCAGATCTGATTTTTTTGCATAGCTGTTCACGTTGTTGTTTTAAATGTAGCCAATATCAGATTTCCAGTGTGAACAGATCATGGTCCTAAACTCACAAAAGTGCTACTGTGAAGGCCTGGGTCAGTCCTCATAATGATATTGTTTGCTGAGTCTGAAAAATTACGATTAATTCATTTTAATGTCATAAACAACATAGACCATTTCCTGTCAAAAACTAATCAAAATTAAACTGAAACTTTAGCATGAAGAGTTTAGTTAATGTCTTATTATTTACGTGAAATATTTCATTTATGGAGTATTTTATTCATTTTATATGTGGAATTTTATATGGTTGTAAAAATGTTTATTAAATCTAACTAAACTGTGTATTCTTTAATTAAAAGTTAATGCTTAGTAATGAGCAGTAGCTGTAGTTGTAAAAAAATACACAAAATGAACAACCATTACTTTCTTGGGATATTTGCCCTGCGTGTCATTTCACTACCGATCAGCTGCCTGTTTGTAGTAACAGCCAGAATGACGAATGCCGATCACAAATGAGGAAGAAAAAAAGATGAATTCCAGCACACCCGTTCACACTCCGGTCGCATTGCAAAGCATCAGATCTGTATCACAATTTAATACCACATATGAAAGTGACACAAATCAGAATTGAAAAGATCAAATTCCATGCAGTTTGGGCTGTTCACACTGCCACGACAGAATCAGATCTGAGTCACTTGTAGGCAAAAAAATCAGATTTGAGCCCCATTAGCCTGCAGTGTGAAAGCAAGAGAAGGAAAACGAAGCATCTCCCAAAATAAGCTCTCATAAAAATGGACAGGTCAGGAAATGACCTCACAACAGTCCGACAATTATATCCTATTCTCACAAGATTCTCCGCATATTTGAGCTGAATTACACATTTGCTGAATGGAAACCAGCCTGCAGAAACCTTCCTCAAAACAAAACACACAACATGAAACACAAACACACTTACTGGTTGTTCTCATCACTTTTTTATGCACAGCAAACATGCGTGTCCCCCAGATCAGAGCCTCCCCTTTCCTCCAAGCTCTCTTAAAGTCCAAAACGGTGTTCAGTAAGCATTGGGTCCAGTTGTGTCCTCCTCTGCCTTTTTCTCTTTCTGCTTTCCTTTCTCTCTCACTCTTCAACATCCTCCCTCTATGTGATGTCATCGCCCTGCCCTCATCTTCCTATTCATCACTTGATATTTTTTTGAGCCTTATCGACCAATCAAATCAAACACTGAAGTGAAGCAATCTGGCTGACAGCATTCAATAAGATCAACAACTGTAGGATGCAGGACCCTGTGTTTTTGTGGAATATTATGGTCTGAAGACTTAATGTAGAGACATAAGTTACACTGTTAGACATTTTATTTTTTGCTGACAGTAAGTTACTGCAACTGCCCCATTTACAGTAACTTCCCTGTAAATGTGTTTTACAGTAGCAGGGCCCTTCTGTAATATTTTTTTTACAGTAAACGAGCCTTACCGTGACTTTTTTGTGAGGTAAAATGCCCTTTACCATATTTTACAGTAGTTTTACTGTAACTTATGTACATTTTTCTCTAGCAGTATAAAACCTTTATTTTTTGTAATTACAATTGAATTTAATCAATTCCTAATTCTTTCATTAACTGTCTCACATTTGTCTTCAACTACAGTAGCAGTACTTGATTACTTTAATTACAGTAGAATACTGCAAATACCTAATATGCAGTAAGTTACTGTGTACGTTTTTAAATGACCCACAATGCGGTGAATATTGCAGTAGTGAACTGTAAAGTATATGGAATTTTACTGGATGTTTTTACAGTAAAGTACTGTAAAATTATGTCAAAGTCTAATAGTGTATGCTATTGAAAAAGTAAAAAGAAAAGCTAAAAGACGAACTTAACTAATGGTGCTTTCACACCTAGACTTTGTTTCGGAACCTGTTGTGTTTTCCCCGTTAGCGTGGTTCGTTTGGCATATGTGAATCCAGCAATTGCGATTGGATCTGCGCCCAAACCAATCCACCCGAGAGCACCTGGATGAGGTGGTCTTGGCTCGATTGAAACGAACTCTGGAGCGGATAGATTGTAGTGAGAAAGCAAAACGATTCAACGTACTAACGATCCAGCCTACATCTCAAAGTATTATGGATATGTAATAGGTATGGCTATATGAATAGAGAATTATGAGTAGGACGGGATGTCATTCCTACTTTCGTCAAATAAGAAAGTGAAAGCATGTTAAACTATTATATAGATAAATATAGAGCTGTTTATCTGTAAAGAAAATCGACTGAACTGGTTTATCTCTTATTTATAATATAAAGCCAATATTGCATAATTCTATCCAACAGCTATGTATGAGAAAGTCTTCTGATTTATATTTGGTGATAATGTCTGTGGGTGTCACCATTCAAAGTTAAAGCACAGCCTTTTGCTCATATTGTCTTATTGCTCAATACCATAAATTAAAATAAGGACACATGACAGCTAAGCGGGACTCTGCAAAATAAACCGTGGAACTCTGACCAATGTGATGAGAGTTTACTCGCACGTGACTTGTTTTAACTCTTTTGGTCCGTTTAGAAACTTTACGGTGTGTGAGCGAACCGCACCAAGAACGAAAAGGGCAACATCATAACTATTTTAATCCCTGTTTTGGAACAAAACAATCGATCTACAGGTGTGAAAGCACTCTAACAATTTTGCAGTGCTAATTCATCAAGGCTGTCAAAAGAAAACAATTTCACAAACAAAGATGACACTTAAACGTACTAACATTAGCTTTCTGTTTGTGTCTTCTAATACTTTAAAATAATGTGCTGTTGTTTCCTATGAGATGTATTTTCTCAATTAGCATGTGCTTACTGCCCATCCCTGATAGTTATAATTATTTCAACTCAACTCATACGTTCTTCTTATAAGAGTTCCTATAACTACAGTTGTTCTAAATTCCGCAGTACAAACACGAGGAAAAGCAGGTATTTCTGTCAGAGGGTTCTAGAAACTACTTCCAAATTGAATTATGGAGTCCTTGATCTGTGCTCTGCAACTTTTGATGTTGAAAAACTGGAGATTAAGTGACATAGTTGAAGTCAAAATGATTAGCCCTCCTGTGATTTTTTTTTCGCTATTTCCTATAATATTTTTTCTTCTGGAGAAACTCTTATTTGTTTTATTTCGGCTATAATAAAAGCAGTTTTTAATTTTTCAATATTACTAATAATAAGTCAAAATTATTAGTCCCCTTTAAGCAGTATTTTTTTTTTTTGATTGTCTACAGAACAAACCACTGTTATACAATGATTTGCATTATTACCCTAACCTTACCTAATTAACCAGTTAAGCCTTTAAATGTCACTTTAAGCTGTATAGAAGAACAAAATATGTGGTCAAATATTATGTACTGTCATCATGGCAAACAGTTATTAGAAATTAGTTATTAAAACAAATTTATTTTAGAAATGTGTTGAAAAAAATCTTCAACTGTATATATACATGTTTAGTAGTAGTTTAAAACTATATATTGTATTTAAAAATATTATATTTGAGTGCTGACAGTGCTGACAGCTCATTACACAGTTTTTGACCAATAATTTACAAGATAATTTACAAATCTAGCATCAAAAGTAGTCAGAACAGAGATCAAGGTCCCATAATGTAATTCAGAAGCAGAGATAAACGGAAAACAGCATTTAATCACGAGCTATTTATTTAACAGTTTTTAACAGTGTGCTGTATGTGTCTCTGCATAAATCACCATGATGTGGAACAAACAGCAGGCGGTGGAGACGATGAAAGATGTTCTCGATCTGTGT